TCTCTCTCTCTCTCTCTCTCTCTCTCCCCCCCCTGCACACACACCGCAACACATAGTGGCTAGGGGGTCAACGTTTGTGATAAAAAGGGGGTGTCTCTCTCGCCCAGGTGCCATCATTATATTCCTTGTCTTCATCTGCTATTTGTTTTTATTGTTGTTGTCGTTCTTCTCTTTGTTGTCATTGTTGTTGTTATTGTCATTGCTGCTGCTGTCATGGTTATCATCAATGTCATCACATTATGTCGATTTTTTCAATATTTTCATTATTGTTTGTCACCGTGCCAATAATCATATTGTGCCATGTTCATGTCACAACATGGACTTAATTATCAATCTTGTTACAAAACCATGACACATTTTTTTATTAACAAATGTGGCAATCACCATCTTATACTCATTTAGTGATAACCTCGTGTGGATTTCTCAGACCATTGTTTCAGAGAGCTATGGATTGATTGAGAGGTGCTTGCAATCATGTAAACCCAAAAGGAGCCCGGATGATGAGAACCTTAGAATTGAGGTTAAGCAATTGCTGCCATACTTCCAGGTAATTTGGGATTTCTTCCATTTCAATTGATTTAACTCTAGGTGAGATGTGAGTAAGAGATTCCTTCTACCTCTTTCTCATTTATTAGAAAATGTACTTCTCAAAGTTCTCATACATAATAACTTCACATCATGTAGCCAAGAAAGGATATCACCTTTAAGTAGTTCTATCCCTTCTTCCACAAAATAAATATTATTTTTCCTTGATTTCAATCTAAGGTGAGGTGAGAGCCACAACTTTCGAACCCTCCTTTTGATTTCTTAGGAAACTATCCTTTCGTTCAAAATGTGGCAACTGCAACTCTATAGCAAAGTTATATATAGAACAACTTCACATATTTTGGTTAAGAAGTTATTTTTTTGCATTGTTGTTAGAGCCACTTTCCTCTCCCTCTCCCTCTTTTTGACCCCACCGTCTCCATCTTCAACCCTCTCTCTACCTTTGTATATCCCCACAACACCTCTTGCTCTCTTTGTGTGTAACTATCGGTCTACCTATATAATATACATGTCAATATATCCACTAAAGCTAGTGATTCATTCATACCTCGCAATTGAACACAATCATGATAATGAGGGCTTTACTATCATAGTACCATCATCATGAAGTACACCATCGTTGCAAACGAACAACAATGATCTCAACCGTTCTGCCCTTGTACTACTCGAGTCGAAAAGCGTTTCCCACACGCCGTTGGGTATCTTTTATACTATCTGTTGCTTGAGAACTCACTGCTTCTCTACTGGTTGTTCACACGTTCGATAATTCTACTTTCTAGGAAAATAAAATAAATAAAAAAGTTAGTAAAAACAAAAATGAAAGACATTAAAACATGCACTTCGTGAAAAGTAGACATTTCGTGAAAATTTGACTCGAGTCAAAAACTTTAATTTGATTTTAAAAAAAAAGGGTTTTAAGGATGTCACATAGGACATGCATTGGCCGTTGTCATAAACATTTGGGCATAAACCTATATTTTTTGTCAAGCAACGAGACAGATGGAACACAAGAAAACAAACAACATATTATTGCCAATACATCCAAGTTGCAGATTTTCTTTGCATAAGGAAAACTATGTTTTTGGAAGTCATACGCATAAGTGGAGGCAACTGCACGTCAGTTGCCTCTGCTTCTCCCCCTTCCGCGGCTCCTCCTCCAC